TAGCTTAAAGCATGTTTAAATGGAACACACACACACACACACACACACTAATATTAGAGATGAAGACATGGAATCCGTACTTTGCTGAATTATCTCAGCAACAGAGGTGAGTCTTACTGATAAAATGCCATGAGCACTGTGCACGCCAGAGCCCATGTTTTTACCAGGCACGTCTACCTTCCATTCTGTATCAGAGCAGGGAAGGTATGCTGTAGAAAAAGCAGACCCAGTCTCTCAGCCTCCTCTCTCACCTGGAGTCCAGGATGAAGACTGCCACGGAAGCACTACAGTAAATCTGACAGCTTAAAACAAAACTGACTGTATCTGAGTTTACGGCACTGGAGACGGGGAGGAGCTGACTCTGAGGTCAGTCTTCCAAGCTACCCCAGGAGAGACTTGTAGAAACATCAAAGGGGTGGGAAACAGCTCCCAGAGGATCAGTGAGCACTTATCCATGTATGTAGTCATATTCATTAGAAATCAGTAAGCACGCATCTGGGCACACCCATCTCTGTTAGATCTGGCGACTGTGGATCTACAGTTTCCATATCCCTGCTGAGTTAGCAAGCTTGTATCCGTGTGCATTGTTATCTGATTTGCTGTGAGGTACGAGTCCCTAACCGTGAACTGCAACACTCCCTCCTAGATGGAGGGTCACATGACTCAAGAGTCAGGGATCTACAAGACTCAGAAGCTCAGAAGGTTAAGAGTCACAAAGCCCCTCCCCAAGATGGTAGAAGCAACAGCCATCGCCAGTGGGAGGAGACTTTTCTTTGGAGTTGCCTGCAAGCTGTTCCGGGGAGCTCCAGGGATGCAGCTCTTGTGAGCCATCTCTGTGTGGTGGGCTGTTCAGTGGTGCAGCTGCCTTTGAGTCTCCCATACACCTTTAAGAAACCTCACATCATAAGAAACTGCGTTGACCTCACTGGTTCACGAAGCTAGACTTGTGTGGAATTGTTCCTTCGATGTATCATCAAGTCCTATCTGGAGTGGGCAGACATTTGTTCATATCTTCCCAGGAAATGTCACACACTAGTGTGATGGTTAATGTTGACTACAAACTTGACAGGACTGGAATCAGCTAGGAGGCAAGACTTCAAGCATGCTTGTGAAGAACTGTCTACAGTAAATCAGCCTCTGGAGTGCCCGGGAAGGACTAACTATGCTAATTGGGGAGGATTCCATCCCTGTGGGCTGGCGCCTGGATTTCATAAATGGGAGGTAGCAATCTGAATATAGGCATTCGTCTCTCTGCTTGATTGCAGAAGCAACATGATCAGATACCTCTATGACTTTCCAGCCATAATGGGACTGTACCTGTGGCAGTTAACATTGCCCGGTATTTTATCACAACAGAAAAGTAACTAAAACAATGGTATTTGCAAACCCTTAATAATCTCTGTCTCTTCTCTGTGCTGCCTGACTCCTTGAGTTGGGGTCCATAGGGATGATTAAGTACTTCTCTGTCTCCGCAGCCATACCTAAGCCGTCACGGCACAGAGGAAGGTACCCTGCCATCCAGACTCTGAGCTTGAATATGAGATGTTCCCTGGAGACAGGTCTCCTGACGTCTTCACATCCTCTGTGTGGAGAGATGAGTTTTAGAGCAAGAGGAACTGACCTTACCCCCAAAGGTAGAGGTCAGAGATGCCCAGGCTGCAAGATGTGTCAGGATGCCCTGGTATCTCCACCAGTAGCTACATGTACAGGGCAACAGGCCCTCCAGGGTCCTTGGGGTCCAGATGACTTCAGAAGTCAGATTTTCTTTTTCAGTTTTAGAATGCTGATCTATTAACCCCCCAGCAGGACCTGAGGATGCATACTACCAACTCATTAATTAGTTCTTGTACATAAACATGAATATTTATAACAACCATCTCTATACTACCAACTCATTAATTAGTTCTTGTACCTAAACATGAATATTTATAACAGATATCTCTATCAGGTTATGAGGCAGTCAGGCTCGCCAGGATGGGAGATTTGCCACCATCAGCCTCACTTCCTTCCATGAGAGATCTAAAACTCAGGAATTCAGGGAAAAAAACAAACTCAACAAGAAAATGGCTTATGGGGAAACTGACAAAATTCCAGCAGACATTGCTTGACTCACGCTTCCCCCGAAACAGACCAGTTAAGATCCCAGTAGGCCTGTCTGTCTGGAGAGCTTCTGGCTTCAGAACCTCAAAGAGAAACTATTGGAGATTCTTATACAAAGAATCAGAATCCCTGATCCTCCTGAGTCCAAGGAGGGCAGAAATACTGTGTCCTATCACAGGCCACAGGCCACAGAATGCTGGCCCCATACACTGGCAGATCCACAGGTGCAGGGCAAAACGGTGCTACGAGCCTCCTGCCGTGCAGGAGCAGCCAGTGCACTCTGTCCTCTTCAGCACCAACACGCACCAGGTCTGCCCCCACCTCTTACTGCAGGCAGCTAGCAGCTCCTGGCTCTGAGTCCATTCCCACAGCCTTGACTACAGTTGACTTTCATGTATCAATCACTGGTCTTTCCTCTTCTTCGAATCCAACTCAAACTTTCCACAGCCTCTGGGACATCTCCATCTGGGTGACTGTGTGACACAGACTACTGATACATGCCAATACCTGCCTGCTTCCCACAGCACCAGCCTGGAACTGGCCAATGGGATGTGAGCAGAAATGTCACATGTCAAGTCTAAGTTCTTCAGTATCAGGCCTACTGGCCTCATGTTCTCTTCCCGGAAGCCAAGACAAGGACGTAAATATGATCAAACATTCTAAGTCTTAGAGTTCTAGCTTAGAAAAATGACTGGGTTTGCAACTGTGAGAGAAGTAAAACCACATATGTAGGAGGTGGGATGGGACATGTGCATATGTGAGCATGTGTTTCATATGTGTTCAGAGGCCAGCGAATAGTATCAAGTGTCCTTCTAGATCACTCTCTGCTCATTCCTTTGAAATGGGATGTCTTACTGAACCTGAAGCCAGGCTAGGCTGGCAGCTAGAAAGTCCCAGGAACCCTCTTCTCCCCACCTTCCCAGCCATGCACCACCACCCCCTGCCTGCCCACAGCACAGCTCTGGAGTCTCAGGTACATGCATGGTAATACAAGCTTTTTATATGGCTGTTGAGGACCTAAACCTGCTGACCCATCTCCTCAGTCCCGAGTAATAAACATGTACAGTGAAGATCTACCAAGAACAGAGTTTCTGCTGTGGAGATTCCCTGGCACGCTGGCTTTCTTGGTGCATAGCTTAAACACCACTCCTGGGTAATGGCCACCTGCTATGGAAAGCCCACCACTTCCTACCAGCCTCTAGCAGTTCACTCAGACATCTGCCCAGTTACCCCAAGCAAGTGTCCCATGAAAAACATTTATATTTGGCTTCCATATTTATAATCTATGTTTCTTTTATCTCTCCCACCTCTCCTTGGATACTGGGTCTCACTGTGTAACTGAGGCTAGCCTCAGACTCTGAAGCATCCACATGTAACATCCTGAGTGCTGCTCCTGAGTGGAGGAGGCACCACGCACAGCCTGGGCTTCCCATTCCATCCTTGTCTTCATGTTGATTTTTAAATAGTGAACATCTGATGTATTTGACTTATTGAAGTGGAAATCGGAGCCTTAGATGACAAGAAGCCCAAGGTCAGCTCCCCCTGCCCCAAGTCTCCATGTGCCTATCACTGTGCCGGGTTCTGTGGCAGCAAGCAAGAAGAGTAGAACGCGGTTGCCCTATCATTCCATTCTTTGTGCCCGCCACCTCTGGTCTTTATCAGAAAGAAGCTCCTGACTGCAGAGCACATGGTTTCTTTATGAGCCATCAGCTGAACGTCTCAGGAAGTTATGTCAAAGAGGGGCTTTTACAATGACAAGACCAAAGGCACATGGGATCTAGTGGGCCCGCTGAGCCACACAGTCTCCATTCATGGCTGATATTCAGGCATCTGGCAGCTGTACCCAGTAAATATTTCTGGTGTGAAAAGAGAGCTGCCGAATAAATATCTGGGGCTCCTTGGGTACCCCAACACAGAGATAACAGATGAGCCATGTCCATTTCCACCACCGCTGCTCAGCCAGGACTCCCTAAACCCAAGCATAGGGACAGGAAGTGGAACGGGGCATCTTTTCTTTGGAAGTACAGTGAGCTGGCTATAGTGCTATGCTCGGTGAATATTCTATTCTCCCTTTTCAGAAGTCCTGGAGTGTCTTAGTGCCAGCCCAAGAGAAGCGGTGACCATAGAGATAATGATGGTCAGCTGTAACGTTTTCACAACTGCCACACGCTTACATTCTACCTGCCACAGACACAGCTTTGCTATGGAGTTGTGTGTGCATGAAACAAAAGATTAGCCATAGTTGGGGCCAACAAGATGGCTCAGCGGGTAAGGTGCTTGCCAGGCAAGCCTGGTAACCTGAGTTATCCCTAGAACCCCTGTAAAGGTAAAAGGAAAGTAACAACCCCACAGAGATGTCCTCTGACCTCTTATGCACACATGCCATTGCACACATATGCCTATAAACACATAGACACACATGTCTACTTTTTCAAAAAAAAAAAAAAAGATTGGGTAATGATGTCAAGAGACAAGCATCCAAGTCTAGAGCTGGACACAGGACCCAGGCCCATAGCTCCAGGACAGCAAAAGAAGACCTGCTGGCAGGATGTCAGAGCATAAATGGAAGAAGGTTGGACTGCATGCACACTGAAGACTGGGATCTAGAGATGCTGGGGGAGTGCAGGAAGAAGTTACAACATTGGAGATGTGTGAGAATGAGAACATGCAGGATCCAGGGAGCTGGGGTCCCACATCTGGACGTCAAACATCACAGGCGGCCAACATGAGCTACTTACACATAGGTAGCACTGCAGTCACAGTGGAACAGAAGCCGTTCCCAGCTGACACTTGTTGGCCACATGTCATAAATGTGGCTTTCCCAAGACTCTCAAGTCAATAATAGCATCTGCATCCCAAGGAGATCATACGGCGGCATGCAGCGCTGCAAGGCAACTCACCTTGTAGGAAGATCCTGTTCCAGTAGGTTTTCCCAACATGAATCCCCCCGAGGAACACCAGGTTGAAGAGGATCAGCATGGAGGTGGAGCAGGAGGCGAGCAGAGCGTGCCATCGGCGGCGGGCTTGTGGGGAGAGGTGCTGGGCCTATGAGAAAACGCAAGAAGCATCTCACTGAAGGAGCAGAACTATGGCTAAGGTTTACTTCTGTGATGGTTTACTTCATCCCAGGGAGCAGCACGCTTAGGAGGTGTGGCCTTGTTGGAGTAGGTGTATCACTGTGGACATGGGCTTTAAGACCATCATCCTAGCTGACTGGAAGCCAGTATTCTGCTAGCAGCCTTCAGATGAAGATGTAGAACTCTCAACTCTGCCTGCACCATGCCTGCCTGGATGCTGCCATGCTCCTGCCTTGATGATAATGGACTGAACCTCTGAACCTGTAAGCCAGCCCCAATTAAATGTTGTCCTTTATAAGACTTGCCTTGGTCATGGTGTCTCTTCACAGCAGTAAACCCTAAGACAACTTCTGTCTGGGTATTTCTACTGCTGTGATAAACACCATGACTGAAAACAACCAGGGGGAAAAAGGGTTTATTTCACTTTACAGCTTACATGTTCATCATCCAGGGAAGTCAGGGCAAGAACTCACAGCTGGAACCTAGGAAAAGGAACTGATACAGAGGGCAGGGGAGAGTGCTGCTGACTGGCTTGCTCCCTGTGACTTGCTAATCATGTTTTGATACAGCACCCAGGACCACCAGCCCAGGCGTGGCATCACCCACAATGATCTAGGCCCTTTCACATCAACCTTTGATTTGCACAATGCCCCACAGGCCAATCTTGTGGGGGTGTTTTCTCAGTTGAGGTTCCCTCTCCCAAATGACTCTACCTTCTGTTAAGTTGACATAAAACCAGCAGGACATCCTCCTGTCACCAGGTCCAGACTCGTCGTCCTTCTGTGCCTGCAGCTAGGTCATTGCTGAGACAGTTTTTAAAACCTCTAGCCTACAACATATTTGTTCTACCCTAAGAAGTGATGTACTCCAGAGATGTTACTTCCTCCACACTGGGCCTCCCTCCAGACTTGGCAATGTAAGTTCTAAAGCTCGTTAAGATGGAGCAGCCTTCTCACCCACACTGCCTGTAAATCCATAGACAAAATCACTTTTAAATTGTACAGCTCCACACCAAGCCAAAGTGACCAGGGCCAAGATCATAGTGACTGTGGTGGTTTGAGTACACTTGGCCCAGGGAGTGGCACTCTTAGGAAGTATGGCCCTGTTGGAGGAAGTGTGTCACTGTAGGGGTGGGCTTTGAGAGACCTTCTTCCTAACTTCCTAGAAGCCAGTCTTCTGTTTGCCTTCAGAACAAGATGTAGAACTCTCAGCTCCTCTAGCACCATGTCTGCCTGGACACTGCCATGCTTCCCATCTTGATGATAATGGACTGAACCTCTGAACCTATAAACCAGCCCCAATTAAATGTTGTCCTTGTAAGAGTTGCCTTCGTCATGGTGTCTGTTCACAGCAGTAAAACCCTAACTAAGACTGACCTTCTAGATTGGTGGACTTGACCCTAGGAAGTCAGTCAGTCTCTTGCAACCTGACTTGCTATGAGGTTGGGTGTATGAGAGAAACACTGTGATTGTCAATTTGATGGAATTTAGAATTACCACAGAAACAAATCTCTGGAAGGGTCTGTGAAGGGGTTTCTAGACTGGGTTAACTGAGTGGGAGCAAGTCCTAGACTGCATAAGAGAGATGAGGGTTGGGGGAAGCTGAGCACCCTCTCTTCCTCTGCCTGTGAATGTGATGTGGCCAGCTGCCTCATGTTCCCACCTCTGTGACTTCACAGCATGATGGACAGGACCCTCAAACTGTATGGCAAAATAAACCCTTCCTTCTCGAAGCTGCCTTTGTCGGGCATTTTGGCAGCATAACAAGGAACTGATACAGTTTCTCAACAGCACACAGTAGCAGCTGAGAAGGTGGCTGACCACAGTACCTGAAGGATTATTGATGGAGAGACCTTCCCAGTGAGCACAGAAGCCCTGTAATCCATCCTGGGTCCTCACGTTATGCCCCTTTGGTAGTTCCTCTCGGATTTTACAAAGTAAATCAATCCTTATACCTCATACCTTAGATTGCGGTTGCCCTTCCCAGTAAGGCTACCCCACCATGGCAGGAGGCATGAGAACGCCATAAAGACATCTGAGTAAAGCCAGGGGCAGCGCCACGGGGTTTCTAACAAATGCTTCAGCTAAGTCTACAGGCACAGGAAGAGGAGGCAATAGAAAGGTCGTAGATATTTCCTAACAGTTCTCTGAGGCCACTGGCTTCAGCTACGCTGTGATTTCAAAGGCTCCATGGCAGCAACCTGGGTGAGTCACACAGGCAGAGACCAGTCCAGAGGCTGAATCTCAGCAGGGTCTGGCTGCAGTGTCCTGATGTGACTGTAACTTAGGGTCCCCTCAGTCTAGAGAAATTGATTCCTGTCCTGGTCCATTCCTCAATTGTAGGTTCCAGGGCTGTTTCAGAAGCACAGATCTCATTGTGGAGGGGGCATCTCCCTAACACCATTTCCTCTTCCCACACCACCTTACAGGGCTTTTATGGCCACCATGTACCCGTGTGGCCTCAGCATGAACCAGCCATATTGGGGACAGTGGCTGTCTAGAGGTGGCCGGAAAAGCTCTGCAGCCCACAGGTCTCAGACAAGATGATGCTGTCACTCTCGCTGCCCCCAGAGGCCATAAGCAGAATCGGGGGATGCTGTCACACAAGGCAGAGAAGGACATGCTCATTACCCAGCTACCCACTTCAGAGAATGCCTGTCCACCGTGGTTTGCATTTTAAAGCAGAAGAAGATGTTCTGTGGGCAGTACTGACTCAGCTAGCAACAACCGGGGAGGTGGTTGGGGAGGAGGCCAAGAAACGAACATGAAGAACTCAGAATAATAAATCAAGAAACCGTGAGCTATCTGAATTGGTATGGATGTGTCCAAATAATCTCCTGTAGGTTCAGAGGCTGCTGTGACAAATTTGACTTCCCAGGACCCAGTGAGCCAAACCCAGTCAGCCTGTCTTCCACCCTGAACCTGACACTCTAGGACAGAGCTGAAAAACCACCCCCTCTCCCTTTTCCCTTATCAGCATAACCCACAGCCTGGTGAAGCTCTAGGAGGCTCTTCTTTCATTAGAGGTGACTAAAATCATTTTAAAAACAACAGGGAACAAGATGTTGAATGACTAGGCTTCCATGGGCTTGCTCAGATGACTGTCATGTACCCTAAACAGGTAGGCCAGGCAGAGTAGGAGGCTCAGTTGAGTGCCCATGTGGAAGAGGGGCCTGTGACAGCTGGAGTGGGCATGGGTAGGGTGGGGGAAGGGCAAAGGAGGGACAAAGGAGTATAAAGAATCCGACCTGGTTTGCCCCTGAGGACTGTCTGAACACTAAGATGTTGCCTGTTATGTAAGGACTTCTTAGACGCAAAATCCAACAGTCAGGCTGATAAATAAGAGGGACACAGAGTCACAAGGGGGTGGGTAGTTGATACAATGTGGACACACCGGAAAGAGAGAAGGGTCACATTTCAGGAAAGACGGAAGTAGGCTGGAGCTCAGGAGTTTTCCAGGCTGCTTAGCGCTTCAAACAATCTAGACTTATACATTGGTTATTTCTAGAATTCTCCAGGTAGTACTCTCAGAGCACAGTTGACTTCAAGTAATTAAACTGTGGCATTAAAACTTCAGATAATGAGGGCTATTGTTTACAAACATAGGTTGACATTAGGGGTCTCTTTACCTTGGAACCTGGGTCTCAGCCACTGGCTTATGGTTGTTGTTGTTTTTTTTTTTTAAGATTTATTTATTTATTTTATGTGAGTACACTGTCGCTGTTTTCAGACACACCAGAAGAGGACATCGTATCCCATTACAGATGGTTGTGAGCCACCATGTGGTTGTTGTGAATTGAATTCAGGACCTCTGGAAGAGCAGTCAGTGTTCGGACTGAGTCATCTCTCCTGCCCCTATTGGTTGTTTTTAAGTTCCATTCTTAGATGTCCCAAGAGGGAAAAAGAGGGTATACACCCTTATTCCACACAGCTATATACATAAGTAGAATGTCATAAATCCTCATTATAAATCCTTCATTTCCTTTGCGATCTTTGACATCCGATGATAACAGTCACTCTTGTGGTCTACTGTATCTAGGATGTAAGCACTTATGCAAATAGAGCCACATGCCCAGCTCAGTCATCTACCCTCCTGCCTCATATGCTTAAAAACACCCTGGAGAAGAGAACTCTTGTTGAGGAATTGTAAACGAGGCAAGGGAATATCCACGTAAAACAAGGAGCCATAAAACATGACAATGACAGTCCAGTCGCCAACCTGATCAGATATCAGAAGTGCGGCTGACAAACAGAATCTTAATTTCATTAACATGAATTTATCAGGATGGAAAAAGAGTCCTGGTGTGGTTTGGCCTATTCCCAGAGACAGAAAGAGCTGTGGCACTCCATTATGCTGGAAGCAAATATTTGGGATTGGTGCTGTCCCCAAGACATGTTTGGAAAGTTGTTAGTTTCCTTCGATGACTACCCCACCAGTCCTGAGAATGAGCCAAGTCCCTGTTCCTCCAGCTGCTTATGGACAAGGCCACTGGATCTAACAGCCATTGGATCTAAGCTCCCTCACTACACATGTCTGCAACTAAGAGGATGGCATGGAAGGAAGATAGAGCGAGTTAGCAAGAACCATTCTGTCCCCGTGCCGATGTCTCAAACATGGCAGAGAAGTAGGCTGTGGCAGTTTCCTTTCCTTGTTAGTGAAGATGTGGGGCTTGCCCTGATGACACCAGTGTCCCAGAACACCAGGAATCTCAGGCCTCAGGTAGACATTTGCTCAAGCATCTGAGAACACTGTTTCAGACCAAAGGTGTGACCATGGCAGCAGCAATCACGGCTTCTTTAACACACCTAATTCCAAGATGAGGACCAACTTGAAACCCACTGAATCTCAGAGCTCAACCAACTTCTGTCAAACTAGTTTGTGCTTCTTGCTGCGAGATGTTGGTTCACATCTCCATAGAAACACCCCTGCCTCTTCTAGCCAAAATCCAGTTTCTGGAAATTGCAAGAT